ATGCGTTTATTGGACAAAGACATTTCTTATACATAACAGAGTTTTCACTAGAGCAATAGACCGTTTTCCAAAGGGTGCGCCATCTGTTAACTGCCGCGCGAGTTAGCGGAGTCCGCTCTTGTTTGATCAAGTACTCTGAACAGTGTTGTAGACGTTACCGAAAAAAAAAAAAAAGCAACGAAATACGTTATTTTCAAATAAAAGTAACGCGTTACCAAACTACGTTACCCTAAAACAAAAGGAACGCGTTACTGTTATCATTATCGATAAAAGGTAACGCACGTTACTTTTTACATTATAAATTGGCACGTTTTACTGTTCGGACGGAATGCATCAGCGCCATATTTCAAGAAAGATTATGTTCTTGCAAAAACTGACCATAATTACTTTATCTTTTTCAAGGTGTCTAGCGACCGGGAAAACCGGGAATCGTCAGGGAAATTTTAATTACCGGGAAAAATCAGGGAATTGTCTGGGATATTGTCAAAAAGCGAGCCCAATCAGGGAAAATGAGCCGGAAGCGCCGTCGAGTGCCCTGAGCAGAGACTTGAGGACTTGGGGGCAGAAAAATAGGCAATAAATTCTGCTTAGAGCGGAGCGCGGGCTCTGCTCACCCGAGGTAGAGTGTGCTACACGATGCAAAGGGAACAGCCAAAAAATCTAGTCCAAGCTTTGGATTGGATTGGATTGAGGGGACGACACCACGCTTGATACAGTTAGAGCTATACTAGATTTAGTAACAAATGGGAAAGCCGCAGACCCCAATCCAATCCAAGCATTAAGCCGAAAGTATCCGAAAGTTTGCAACTGGCGTCCATGGCCGTGGGCCACGCTGCCATTCGGCTATTGACGTGTGTGGTTGAGCGTCGTGACTCATTGTTCTTCGGGAAGTGGCCTCTTCAGTGACGATGTCGGCGGCATGAAAGTGCTCGTTTAATCCGGACTGGACGAGCCCGATTATTTGGATATGCAAGTTAGATTAAGCCCGCGCAAAACGATCCTCGCAGTGCTTAATGCTCAATGCGTTGTGTTGTAATGGTCTTATTATATAACCGCCTCTACAGTGGTCAGGGAATTTCACCTGAAAATGTCAGGGAACACCTGAAAAATCAGGGAATTTCAGAATAATTTGCTAGACACCCTGCTTTTTACCGTTTAATCTAGATCAATAAAAATGCGAAGAAAAACGCGAAAACTTCTGCCTATAAAGACACACAAAATTATAGAAGTGTGATTTTTTTAAGTCTTCGAAAGAAGAAGTATCAAGTAACGTAACTACGTTACACGTTACTTAAAATAAGGAACGAAGGTACACGTTACCCGTTACTTTTTCGAAAAAGTAACGAGTGCGTTACCAAGTTACCGAAAAAAGTAACACGATACCGGTAACGCCGTTAACTGTAACGCTGACTCTAATCTTGTTATTGGACACGGGGGCTGCGTCAGCGTTCGCCGAGAACTCGGAGCCAATCACGTGCCTCGTGCCCGATGGATGGATGAATGTTAATGGCTACACCCTTTGTAATGGGCAGTAGCTAGCGCCACCTAGCCCAAGCCTAAAAAGACAAACATATGGTCCCTCCCGCCCTTCTAAGCCAATTTGCTCCCCCTAACTATCACCAGGCCGTGTGGGAAATCACCGGGACATGGCGGCTTCCAGTGTTGCTTGACGCAGTTTCGAAGAAAGGGTCTATTCGGTAACAGTTTCGAGTCGATTGGATGGAGCAGGACGCGTCTTGGTTGCGATTGCCTCGTTTCTGGCGCCTCGGAAGAACGACGCCTCCAGCTGACGTGAGCAGCGCCCACGCGTGCGTATAGCGTCACGTTGCAAGGCTGCGGGACGCTTTGTTAGGTGCATGTGATGGATGGCCGTGGTCTTCGTGGGGGGGAAGGGAGACCCATTCTTTGGGGACTCGTGTGTGTGTGTGCACTTCGTTTCGCCTTAGGACGGACGAGACATCAAAGCCAGTCTGTGGGAGTGTCACGTTGAATCTTGTGTGGGGCGCAGTGACGCGAGGGGTATGTGGTAAGAGCTTTTTCGTTTACTCTCGTGGCCAGCCACCTGATAAACATATCCGGTAAGGGCGGCAAACAAAAAAATATATAAAACATTTGATCCTGCAAATAGTAGCATAATGGGTGACGGTTACGCCAAAACAATGTTTTCGCCCATACTGGAATTGACGAAAGTTTAAGATGGCGACACCCTTGTGAGAAAGCCTGCAGACTTGTGCCTATCTCAAATACTCTACTCAATATACTGTATTTCAAATACTTTTTGAAGTACCTTAGTATCTTGCAAATACTTTTGATTGAGAGTATTTGATACTGCATTTTAATTAAAGTTTTGAGTATCTTGTACTCATTATCTCAAATACATTTCAGACATTCCGCCATTTTCCGAGCCGACCGCGCGCGTTTCGCGTCATCCGGGTGAATCAGCAGGGATTTAATTGAAACGACTCCGGAAGCCAGCCACCGCTTCTTCTTACCAGTTATTTTGATGAAATGTTTGTTTACTGGCTTACAAAATTAAACAAGGAATCAACTTGAAACTAATCAGAGACCACCACTCACAAAACAGATTGGGGCCAACAGGATACACGGACACGCTTTCACTGAAGTGTTTACTACACACGCGAGAGGTCCTCGAGTCTCGCTTTTCTATTTTCAATATAATAAAACACTCCTTTATCTATTTTACTTTGTCCGAATCATTAAAAAAAATGCACCCTATTCGCCGTTGTGGGGTAAAGCGCTGGAGACTCTATCTTCATTATCCAGCTTTTTGTACTGGGGTAGACAACACCACACAACCATCCCAGATCTTCGACACCTCAATGCCAAAAGTGCCTGTTAGCACGACTACGCTGGCACGTTCAAACTCAACGCGTGAAACAGGCTTTGCCGCGCGTTACCCAAGCAACGCATCAAGCGAGTTGACGAGCCGATCGGATCCAAGATCTGCGCGGTCTGTCCCAGTCTGTCCTACCCGTGACGTCACAAACGACGATGATGATGATGATGGGATGGCTCGCACCGTCTGCTGCGGTTTATCGTAAGCTGAAACGAAGTGTAGGTGTCCGAGGATCGTTCAGTCGTGATAAAACAAAAAAACTAATTTCTTTTATATAATTTTAGTTTGAATGAGTATATTTACAGGCAAGCTTCTTTTCGCGAGACTATACGTCCTCTTTGAAGGAGGGGTTACTGTGAGGATAGGCGATTGTACAGCGCTCGAATGTCTTCCACAGTGTACAACAACATACGCGGGCGTTTTGAAGTGCAATCCAGCTCGCACCGAATCGCTAATCGCATCAACTTCATTAAAAAAAAGTATAAAACAATTTCGGGCGAAAATAAACGTGGCGTTCTCACCGGGAATTCTTTCGGTCTGTCCAGCGTTAATTTGGCTGTTCGAACAGCTGCCACCTTTGGAGTCGGCGTACTTGTCGATATTTGGTGACTCGTTCACAGAATGCGTTCATCCAACGTTGATCTGCACTCGAGGTGCTCGTGCGCCCGTGCGCCCATAGTTGGCCACAGAAAGTTGTTCGAAGTATCACTTCACGTTTGTTTCGCTTTTTTTAATTTTTATTTAAAGGCGAGTACAGGTGCAGATGGCGTTTCCACCCTTATTTGTGCATGAGAAAGCGACGGCACTGCTTACAGTCCCGAGTGAAACAGACCTCTTCCTGTTTGGAAGCGGATAAGTCGGCGCGTTTGTTTCGTCTGAAGTCCTAAATCACAAGCATATGAAACATTTTTTTTTTTTTTTTTAGAACAGGCGACGTGGCTTATGTAGAATGTGCCGATTACATTTTACAGAGATTGCAATGCTGGACGGAATGCGTGCAATCTAGTAGACCACGAACCTCCTTACATTTCGAGGTATCGTTCGTACCCTTAGAGAGATTGGAAAGTATAAATGGCGGTGCGGCCTGCTGTAGCTAAGTGTCTTCACGCGCGCGGAGCTTCTGTTTTTTTTTTTTTTTTGTAGAGTTTATGGAGCCCACCGTGCGCAAGAAATTGCGCAAAGAATTGACCAGGAACGCAGCGTGATGTGCAAATCTGACTGGAGTGTCTACTGGCCAAACTTCGGAACCATTCGCGATCTTCCGATGTTTAGGGCTAATTGTACTACGAAAAATCTAATTAAAGCGGTATAATCTCAACTAAGCATAAAAGCAAAAAAAAAAAAAAAAAAAAATGACGAGTGGTACAAGTTACGAGCGGATTTTAGATTAAATAAAACGCTGTATAATGGTAAGGGGGGACAGACGCGCAAGACGCATGATTTGTCTCCCGTGGGGTGGCATGATGGCGGGAATGTAGTTTGTACGTATACAGGAGTCACTGATATGGCGGACAATTTGTTCGCCTTTCTTAGAAAGAAAGGCTAACCACGATGTTCTCTTCGGTAGCCACTAGCCGAAGCGGACGGACGTACCGAATTTTCCCCGCTTTGTTGTCGCTCATCCTACATTCCGCACTTTCCTGCGGGAAAATAGACGATACCTTATGTACGCCTCAGCCGCTGCGTGTACAGCAAATTCCTGCATCCCTGCGTCAGGCGATCAGATTTCCGCCTGACGCAAAAACTTGTAAATAACGCGCGCGCAAAAAAAAAGAAAAAAAGAGAGAGTTAAAGAAAAAAGAACAATATGTCCTTTGTTACGCGCTGAAGGATGGGTGTTGGCTACGGTGTTGGAGAGCATGGATTCTGGGAGCTGTAACTATCATCGTTGCAACACTGACAAATATTGTTGTCGTCGTCGTGGGTCAAGCGATCGACTCTCCGAGCCGTAGAGCCACCTCGACGCGCAGCGGTTTGCTCCCCGCGCGTGACGTTTTTGGCATTGCGTCTCGGGCTCTCGGCAGGAAAGTGCGCGCAGGTCGTGCTGTTTTTTCTTCTTTTTCCTTTCTCCTTTAGTTGCTCCCCCCCTCCCTCTGACGAACGAACCGCCCTTCGCCTTGGCACCGTTTCTTCGTGTCGCGGTGGGCCGCGCGGGACAACGCCGATGTCACTCGTCTCCTCTCACCTCCTCGAAGGGGGAAACCACGCGGTGACTCAGAGCTCAAGACGTTCTTCGCGTGCGGCCGCGCGACTTCACAACTTGACTCAGCGGGCACGCACACGACGTAAACAACAACAACACCAACGACGACGACCGCAGTGCTGTTTCGATTGAACGGTCTGAGGAGAGCGCTGACTCTGGAGAAGAAGAATCGTGCTCGCGTCGGATGAGGTCACCGAGGAGGGCACGGAGCGAGTGCAGCGGCGGCAGCGGGGCAGCCTGCGGCGGCGTTTTTATCTGAGGAATGTTGTGGCGGTGCGGCACTTTTCTTCCCGGCGGCGGTCGGTGTTGGGGTAACTACCGCGGCCGGAACTGCGTCAGCTATCGCGCGTCTGGCGATCCGATAGCGGACAGAGCCCATGGCGACTGCGTTGGGTTTCTCTCCTGGCGAGCACTGCGGCCGATGTGAGCCGCCGGCGGCCTGGTCGCCCGCTGCGGTTCTTCTGCTCCTGCTGCCATGAGGATCTTGCGTCGGCTCCGGGTGCGTGGACCGTTGGAACACATTCTTGCTATTCCTCTAGGCTAGTTTTGTTTGGGTTGTTCCTTGTCTGGAGGCGTCTTGTGCGCTCGAAGCTTTGCGTAGCTCTACTCCGCTTTAAACGGCAGTCAAGGCTACAAGCGCGAGCTGGGCCGTGCTCCCATGCTTTGAGACGCACTTATAGCCTTGCCTGCAGTCTCAGCTGAAGTGTGAATTGAGTGTAGGACGCGTTCGGTTAATTACATTGTTTTACATCGATGTTTTCGTAGGGAGGAACGTTCGAAGCTGGAGGGTTTGAGCATCCTTTGATTTTGTTTTGTTTGGCTACCCTTGGCATGTTTACGTCGCCACTAGCGAAGCGAAGGACCGCGCTTGGTGCTATTCAAACGCCTCCTGTCTGGGATGTGTCCAACTTCTGGTCTCTAGGAGTTGGTCCCGATAAAAGTTAAGGCCCGTTGAACTGGGCTCAAGGAAGCTTAGAAGTTTTTTTTACTGGACAACACCAGCGTGCTTTTGAGCAAGAAGGCAGTTGCGAGTGGCGATGGCAGCAGTAAAGGTTGTTTTCTTGTCATTCAAGTGGCTAGGGAGAAGTTCTGTCCGTGCGAAGCAAGATATGAGATTGGATCGATGCCAGAACACTGAAAGTCGCACCGGGTCAAATGAGCCGTTCGGGTAGGTCACTCGAAGCCGACGTGTTACTAGAGATTGGCTTCCTCCGACCGCGGCACCTGCGAACCATGCTCACAATTCTATACCTTATTTTTCTCGTAAAATCAGCATCAGATTCGCAGTGTCTGTGTAAAAGGTGTGAAGGGAAAAGTACGGGCTTACGTTCACGTGTAAACAGTTGAAGCTATAGGTGCCAGGAAATGCACCGAGAGAGCGATACTATATCTCAGTACCCGAGTCTACGAAATGATAATGTTCCCGCTCGGTGGTACGTTAGGGAGTTTTCGTAGACCGCGCTGCCCCCTCCGCTAAGCGCTCCGCAACGAAGAAGTTGCTACTGCGCCTGCGCGCCGATAGCCTTGACTGTGGAGTTCCCGCTATCGTAGCGGGTTGCGGAGGGCCTTGCGGGACGTTGAAAACGATCTACGAAAACTCCCTGTTATCTGCTGATTTCGAGCTCTCGATCGATCGTTTTGAACAGCGTGTTGCAGCACTTGCGACGTTTCGGAATTCCTCCCTTCTTCGAAGACAGAGACGGATTTTCTGGGGCTTTTGTGGGGCTGTGCCTTCCGGCTCAAACCGCAGTGTTCGTTCGTTTACGAGGGTGATTTCTCGATCGCCGAGTTGGGTGTTGACCGCTTGCGGGTTCGTCTTCGTGCCGGACGGCAGGCAGTTTCGCTGCGGGAATTCCGCCAAGTTGATTTTACCGCGGCTTTGCAGACCACTCGAGTGTACAAGAATTTCCGGAAACCTTTTTTCTTGAATATTTGTATTGGCTAGCTGAACAAACTGTTAATTGAAAGGTGTTATGGCGGTATACTTTTGGCGTCTCGCAGTACGCGAACTTCAAAAAATAATAATTAAAAAAATATGAGTAGCTAAGTAAGAGAGTCTAGTGAAGCGGATTTTAAGTCAAAATATAGTGCTGTGTTTTAATTTTCTTTGTGTGCACCACATCATAGACTGTAAAGTTGTTTGTGGGCACGTAAAATAAAGATTTATTATTATTATTATTAAAATGATTTCGGTTGCGCACGGAATGCCTGGCGTTGTTTCAAGGGTCTGGCGCTCGTAGCTACAACGACGAGGATTGCCAGAAACGGACAGTCTCGATGCGGGGCGTCGGAAGTTTGCTTTTTCAGCGAAGTCTTTGCTTTTTATTCATTGTTATCCTTGGGAGAGAAACTGGGGGAAGGAGGCGGGTTGCAGAAGAGAACGATGATATAGCGTGATGACAAAATGAATAGTCTGTTCGGCGCCTTTCCATTTACGTTTTCGCTAAGACTCGCTACTGCGCATGTGAGACCTTTTGGCCGGCAGCAAGGGCCGGCAGAGTCCGCGAGGACAAACCTGCCTCGTCATCTTCGCGCCCTACCACTGGACGCCGCCAGTTCAGCGGCATTTACTTGCGAATAATTGTTGCACGTTTTCTATCTCTCTGTCGTATATCTAGACGCGTGTTTTTTGTGTCTGTTATATATTGTCTTAAAGGGATAATGCAACGATTTCAGTGTTCAAAGAATTGGCACTTTTTATTTCTATATTGTTTATCCAAGCACAAGTGACCAATAACGCGTCCCTTTGCCCCGATAAACTGCTATTCTGCTGCGTAATAGCAAAGAAAAAACGAATTATTTGCCGATCTGCAGCCGCGTGTGACTGGTACGGGAACTACGGTGACAACGTCACTGGGGGATAGGCGGAAGGGAACAAAACCTGTCCGCCTCCGCTGCTACACTCGCCGTCACCCCCGTAGCGAATCGTTTTTGTGTCGATTGCTCGCCGCGACCTCCGACGATGCTAATCTTTTAAAATTCGATAATTGCGGATGAAGCGGCTGGAGTCTCTGAGGAGAGAACCCAAGGGGAAACCACGTGATCCCCCAGAGCACGTCACTGGAAAGGCGACGTGGAGAGTTGAAACTTGAAAGGCAGTTTAACCTTCGATTTGTTTTTTTTTGTTTTTTAGATAAAAACTAGCGCTCGTAAGAAAATACGGTTTTCTGTTCTTCGTTCCATGGGTGACACAGATTTATTTCCGCAGTTAATTGGCCGAATTCCGAACCTTGGGTTCTCTCTTCAGAGACTCCAGCCACTCCCTCCGCGATTATCGAGTTTTAAAGGATTACCATCGTCGAAGGTCGCGGCGACCGATCGACACAAAAACGGTTCGCTACGGGGGTGACGGCGAGTGTAGCAGCGGAGGGGTTCAAGTTTAGTTCACTTCCGCGTATCCCCCAGAGTACGTCACACATCAATTTCGCTAACAACCACAAGCGGCTGCAGATCGGCAAATATTTTCGGGGCAAGGTGACGCGTTCTTGGTCACCTGTGCTTGGATAAACATTATAAAAAAAAATACAAACTGGCAATTCTTTCAACACTAAAATCGTTGCACTACTACCCCTTTAAAAGGACCCTAAACCCCCAAGATATATGTTTTTTTTTTTTCGTGTCCGCTTCACGTTAGAATGTGGCAGTGTAAAGATACCTTCAAATAAATGCTCGAAAAAAAACAAAAAAAACGCGCGTTTGCTTAAATAAATTTAAAAAAAAAAGCTTTATTTTGATTTTTTGATTACACGATCAGTTTTAGAAACGCAGCCATTCAATTCAGTAGGGACATCTCGTAGATTGTTTTGCCCCCTCCGATATGCTCTCCGCGACGAAGATACCTGCACTGCATGTGCAGGATTAGGATCTTCGCACCTCAAGGCTGCTTCGGCATCCCTATGCAGTATCTCTGCGGGCGGGCCAAGCGGCGAGCATACGCAGTAGTGGCGTCTTCGTTGCGGAAAGCGTGGCGGAAGGGAGAAAACACGTTGAACGAGGAGAACTCTGTAATAGCGAGTTTTAGTAGACCTCTCCGATAACTTTGATAACGATACTCGAAACCTTGCGCGCGCCTGTGCAGGCTCAGGCCTGGTATCGTTATCGGGTACCTTTCTGTCATGGGCTGCCCGGGCTGCCGCGTGTTCTTGAAGCGTCGCCTCGTTGTCCTCTCCTGTTTCTTGCGACAGCATGGGGAATGTTTTAACTGCCTGATTGTGATCGGAAATATTTTAACGAAGAGTTCGTTATTTTCGCGAGTGTAACTTGGAGAAAACGCAGCACGCAAAAGCGTCTCGCGAAAGCTCTACAGCTGCAGAGGACGGAGCCGAGGGCACCCTCGCGAATGGCGCCTCGCCCCCATTGGTTAGCGACAAGCGATGGAGTCCTCGTCTCGGAAGTCGCCGTACTACACAAACTCTTGAACCGAGATTTTCCGACTCCAAAACGATTTCTTTCGACGTATGACGATTTTGACGGGTCTGACACTCGCAGATTTTTTTTCTTCTTAATTGTTGCAGGTACAGATTAAAAAAAAAGAAACGACTTTTTTTTCTAAGCTTTCTAAGGTCAACATTTTTTTTTTTTTTTTTATAAAAAAGTCGAGGAGTAATATTTAGTTTTTGGTGAAATGGAAGTTATTAGGTAAACAAAATCGATCTGGGCAATGCTTCGCCTCCCATGACGTCAAATCTCTCCCCGTCCCCGAAATCTTGACCCATAAATCCGCCCCCTGGATTGTTGGTCCCGTTTGCGTCGCGTTCAGCGTCTTTCAACAACCCGTTGTAAAGGCGGCGACTTTGACTCTTTGTGTAGCCACAGCCACCGCGTGGCGGGCCTGACCTTGTCGGGCTGAAGTCCCTTGATACTCCTTTTTACGAGTAAAAACAACCAATACAAATGACGAAGCGCGTTCCGCTCGAACAAAATGGCGTCATTCAGTTCTCTCGTCTGTTCTGCGCCGCCATTCGCTTCCTAAAACCTGCACCGTCACGCAGTGGGCGCTCCGAAGAACGTCGCTACTTGTAGGAAGCTCTCATTTGGAAACTTTGCCGGGCGATTTGATTAGGTGCGAGATAACCCCATTCATTGTTGGTTCGACTATCGCACGATACCTGTCGGAGAGCGGTCCTCCGGGACAAAAATTTCCCTTCAGAGCCAGACAGTGGCTCTTGATCAAGCTCGCACTCTCTTATCTCGAAGCATATCGATCGGATCGCTGTGTGTTTGTGTGTGTTAGGTGGAGAACCGGGGTTGTTTTGGCGCCGTGTTCGAAGGATTGCTGCAGCGGTGTCCGCCTTCTGTTGTGCCCGTCGAATCGTGAAGACGGATGGTCGCTGTTTCACGAGCCCCTTTGGCGTGGTTCCCGAGATGAGATCATGAGATTAATAAGGTGATGGTATGATTAACCGCTAACGCCTCTAAAGTAAAGAAAAAAAGACGCAGGTTGGCACGGTTTTTTTTTTTTCTCTCTCTCTTTTTAACGTTTGTATTACTCGGTCTTAT